TTCAAGACCCCTGGCTGTCTTCAAGACTCCTGGCTGTCTTCAAGACTCCTGGCTGTCTTCTAGACTCCTGGTTGTCTTCAAGACTCCTGGCTGTCTTCAAGACTCCTGGTTGTCTTCAAGACTCCTGGCTGTCTTCAAGACTCCTGGCTGTCTTCAAGACTCCTGGCTGTCTTCAAGACCCCTGGCTGTCTTCAAGACCCCTGGCTGTCTTCAAGACTCCTGGTTGTCTTCAAGACTCCTGGCTGTCTTCAAGACTCCTGGTTGTCTTCAAGACTCCTGGTTGTCTTCAAGACTCCTGGCTGTCTTCAAGACTCCTGGTTGTCTTCAAGACTCCTGGTTGTCTTCAAGACTCCTGGCTGTCTTCAAGACTCCTGGCTGTCTTCAAGACTCCTGGCTGTCTTCAAGACTCCTGGCTGTCTTCAAGACTCCTGGCTGTCTTCAAGACTCCTGGTTGTCTTCAAGACTCCTGGTTGTCTACAAGACTCCTGGCTGTCTTCAAGACTCCTGGTTGTCTTCAAGACTCCTGGTTGTCTTCAAGACTCCTGGCTGTCTTCAAGACTCCTGGCTGTCTTCAAGACTCCTGGCTGTCTTCAAGACTCCTGGCTGTCTTCAAGACTCCTGGCTGTCTTCAAGACCCCTGGCTGTCTTCAAGACTCCTGGCTGTCTTCAAGACTCCTGGTTGTCTTCAAGACCCCTGGCTGTCTTCAAGACCCCTGGCTGTCTTCAAGACCCCTGGCTGTCTTCAAGAGAGAGCTGGACAGACACCTAAAGTCAGTACCTGACCAACCGAGCTATGGTTCCTACGTTGGTTTATATGCCGCCAGCAGTAACAACCTGGGTGACCAGACACCGATCCACCACAAGATATGGTCTTGGACTGGACCGCAGGGGGCACTGACCCCCGAAACACCCAGCACTAGTGTCGAAGATTTGAAGTCGCTCGGATGAGGCATTCCACAACCCCAGCACGTCACTGCAGAGGAAAGGAATAGTGCAGAGTGGAGCATAGCCTTGTAAAGCAGCTAAATATTCACATTAAATATTTGAAGGCCATCAGGAGAGGTCCGTCACAAGTCATCACATGGAAATTAATATCCTAATTCCTTAACTGTTAATATAATCCCAGTGTTGTATAACCCCAGCCTCCTGCACCTCAGTGTTTGTATGATCCTTGGGGGTTTAGTGCTTAGTTTTGATTCGTTGTACCTTGATGCATGCAAAAGGAAAGTGAACCCTGGTCTGCAGTACTACTCGTAGACACCAGGTGGAAGGTGAACCCTTGTCTACAGTAATACTGGTAGGCACCAGGTGGAAGGTGAACCCTTGTCTACAGTAATACTGGTAGACACCAGGTGGAAGGTGAACCCTTGTCTACAGTAATACTGGTAGACACCAGGTGGAAGGTGAACCCTTGTCTACAGTAATACTGGTAGGCACCAGGTGGAAGGTGAACCCTTGTCTACAGTAATACTGGTAGACACCAGGTGGAGGGTCTCCCATGGTACTTCCATCTACATGGTAACACTCTGGGAGTCCTGCCACCTGACACAACTACCAATCAACTTAAGCAACACTAGAATATCAGTACAAGAGTTGATAGATTGAGTGGAAAGTTCTCAATGTGCTTAAATATTAGTATATTAAGTGCTCAACCCACAAGGGCCATTATTATTATTACTATTATAATCATGGGGGAGCACTAAACCCGTAGGATTATACAGCGCAAGTGGGGTGGAAGGCATTCGGGCTCAATTCAGGGAACTGGAGCACAGATCAAATTCCCTAGATCTAGAGCCCCTCACCCGGGGAATTATACAGTGCATGTTGGGGGGGGGGGGGAGGATGAAAGGTATTCAGGCTTAATTCTGGTAACCAGAGCACTGATCCAATTCCTGAGATCAAGAGCCCCTCACCAGCATCAAGGAACCTCCCTTGAGAGGATGTGTATATACAGCCTCTCCTCACTTATCGACGGAGTTCCGTTCCTAAGACCTCATTGGTAAACGAGAACATCGCTAAGTGAGGAGACGCTGTTCTTGAATAAATCATTTTAGAAGACCAACAAGTTGATAAGACACTTGTGCAACTGTTAGGCACCTTTGTTGTAAAACCATTTTACCACCCAGTGGCTTCTTCAGTCCAATACAGGTTTGAGGTAGTCTGTCCCTCAGTTTGGGACCGATGTGTTCAGTAGATCAAAACTTTGATTCTTTAAGTGCTAGAACCAAGCCAAGTAGGTCATTTCCTCTAGTTTTATTTTTTTTCATCATGGAGAAACACTAAACCCACATGGGTCATGGTGTTTGGGAATGAGAGGTATTCAGTTTCAATCCAACAAAAGGGAATTATTATTAATTCCCTTTTGTTGGATTAATAATAATAAAAATTAAGCGTTAAACCCACGAGGATCAGACAGAGCTGCAGGGTAGGGTGTGTCAACTATGTATTACAGTGAACCCCCGCTTAACAATCACCTCCCAATGCGACCAATTATATAAGTGTATTTATGTAAGTGTGTTTGTACGTGTATGTTTGGGGGTCTGAAATGGACTAATCTACTTCACAATATTCCGTATGGGAACAAATTCGTTCAGTAATGGCACCTGAACATACTTCTGGAATGAAATAATATCATAAACCGGGGGTCCACTGTATATTTGATCTGAAACTAACGAGGGTGGTGAGGATAACAGAGGTAGAGTAAGAAAGGGCTGTGAGGAATGCTAAAGGAAGAATTATCAAAGTTTGTGTAATAAATCACTTGCTGTCAAAAAGTTGAAGAGGGAGTGAGTGTCAAAGGTGGAGCCGTCAGCAAGGAGGGAAGATAAAGTAAGGGCATTAGAGCAGTGGCAACGTTGGAGGTAAATTCTGCATGCTTGCTGGTATTTATTATTATAATCAAGGGGGAAGCACTAAACCCATAGGATTATACAGTGCTTGGGGGAGGGATGGAAGGTATTCAGGTTTAACTCGGGGAACTGGAGCACAGATCCAGTTCCCTAGATCAAGAGCCCCTCACCAGCATCAAGGAACCTTCCTTGAGGGGATGCTTGCTGGTAGACACGTCAGTCCAACAGAATATGGCAAACTGAAATTGGAACCTGACAATTCTGAGTGGAACTGGGTGCAGGGAAAGGAAAGACAAGTCCAGTTCCATGGATCAAGAGCCCCTCAGTGACACTGCCCTTAAGGGGATTTCTTCTTAACTGGTTCCATCACAACTGAATTATTATTACAATTGAAATTAAGCACTAAACCCACAAGGGTCATAGTGTTCCATCACACACTGCTTTATTATTATTATTTTTACAATCATAACTAAAGGGAATTATTATAATAATTATAATTATAAATAATAAGGGAAAGCAGGGTAGAGGTCGGCCTAGGAAAGGTTGAAGGGAGGGGGTAAAGGAGGTTTTGTGTGCAAGGTGCTTGGACTTCCAGCAAACATGCGTGAGCATGTTAGATAGGAGTAAATGGAGACAAATGGTTTTAGGACTTGATGTGCTGTTGGAGTGTGAGCAAGGTAACATTAATGAAGCAATTCAGGGAAACCGGCAGGCCGGACTTGAGTCCTAGAGATGGGAAGTACAGTGTCTGCACTCTGAAGGAGGGGTGTTAATGTTCCACTTTTATAACTGTAGTATAAGCACACCTCTGGCAAGACAGTGATGGAGTGAATAATGGCAAAAGTTTTTCTTTTTTGGGTCACCCTGCCTTGGTGGGAAACAGCTGATGTGTTCATAATAGCAATAAAAAAAATCATAATTAAGCGCTAAACAAACTGCTTTACAAAGTTCTCACAGAAAGTCACTAGACTCTTTGATTTCCAACAGGATTCTTCCAATCAATTTGGATAAAAATAAAAATCTCCCATTAAAACCCCATTTTCATATCCTACAAACCCTAGTAATTTCATCTCGCACTAGTTTATGACAAGCGGTAATCTGGCTTGATCAAAGGAAGAGGAGTGCAATCCCAAATTCTTTAGATCATAAGCCTTTCATCAATCTCAAGGAACCTGCCTTGAGGAACACCCAGCTAACGGTCAGGGTATTGGCAGGAATATAGGGATCCCAACACACCTGAAGTGTAGAGAGGGTTGACTGTACATGAAAGTTAGAGGACAACAGAGGCTCTTATGAGTTGCAGACAAGACAGAGCACAACAGGGGTCATTGTGAGTTGCAGATAAGACAGAGGACAACAGGGGTCATTGTGAGTTGTAGAGTTGCACATAAGAAAGAAGATAACAGGGATCATTGTGAGTCACAGATAAGACAAAGGACAACAGGGATCATTGTGAGTCACAGATAAGACAAAGGACAACAGGGGTCATTGTGAGTTGAAGAGGTCACAGATAAGCACAATAAGACAAAGGACAACAGGGTCACTTTGGACAGTAAAAAACAGATACTGTGTTGGTCGACAGAACACCAAGGGCAACCTAATCATTGTAGTCACGTAGACAGACAGGCTTGAGCGAGGAAATAAACAAAACAAAGATTGTGATTAATTCAGTAGCTGGAAAAAAGAGACTTAGAACATCGCAAACCACCAAAAATCCTAAGTTCATCGGAAACTTTAGCTCGCCTACTGCAAAGAATAAACCAAACAGAATTCATATTATATTTTTAGCTACATCGCAAACCAAAATTATCCCAAGCTATAAATTAGTATTTACCAAAACACTTGAAGAAAATCATAATATTTTAACCTCACATAAAGAGAGAACCCTACACGACGATCACGGTACCGACATGGAGACATTGACAAAGTTCGGTGATTGTTGACAATGTGACTTGTCAATGGTCCAAGTCGGACCGAAACGTCGTCGTAAGCTTCTCTCTTTTTGTGCTGGCGGGTATTTGTTGTAATGTCAGTCGGACAACGGTATTGTGCCTTTTTGTTATTTATAACTTGGAGAATGGAATGAAAACAGACAGACTGAAGACTGAAAGTTACAATACACCAATGAAAATGGGTTGAGAAAGACTCAAATTTACAATAACAAAATTTATGAATATTGATATGTGGTGGTAAATGAGTTTATAAACATCAGCACAAACATTGGTAGGCAGCATCAGTGATCTGCTAAAACTCCCTTGACTTTTAATTAATTACAATCACATAAGTGGCTAGTGTCAACACAAGCTGTACAGAAATTTCTCGAAGTAAATAATAGTTTTTGGCATTTTAAAATAAAAGATATCGAGTTATAAGTCAACATTAAATACACATAATGTGATATCCAAAACTATAAAGAAAAAATATATTTTATTTCCTATGCGGCAATTCATGTGACACAAGTGTACATAAGAATGTCAAACCATGATGGGTCTGTTCGTCTTCAACATACTAATGTAAATTTTTGACTCGTAAATCAGATCACACCCTGAACAGTGTAGCCTTATTATAAAGCCCCTTCATGATACTGGAAAATAAGATGTACCTAGTTTCTTGTGGCTCTCAGAAATGTGAAGTTTGACGTGCAGGTAGCGATTAGCTGGACAAGCGAGAAAACGCTTGGACGTGGCTATTGTGGCATTTGTAAACATGTCAGTATCTGTTACTAGGGTTTATATCAACGTTGCTGCGTCCCGGACGGATGACCGACAGACACTTGGCTGACAGACAATTCACCAAAGGACGTTGGTCAAACGGACATTTCACCAAACGGACATATGGCCAAACAGATAATTAGGTTAAACTAGGTTAACATTACATTAGGTTTGTTATTTTATGGCCTTTTTAGGTTTATTATTATTTCTTCTTTTAAATGTTTGGAAAACGTGCTGTGATGAATACCAGTTCGGCCATATGTCCATCAGTGAGACGTCCATTTGGCCACCTGTCCCTCAGTGAAATGTCTGTCAGCCAAGTGTCCGATGATCATCCGTCCACAAGCACGCCGTTGTATACACTACCATAACAGAATTTTACTAATTTTCTTTCAATCAGGGCGAAGCACTAAACCTGTAGGGGTCACATAGTTCCTGGGGAATGGGAAACATTCAGACTGAATCCACAGGAGAAATAAGTTCAGATATTTGAATCAAGAGCCCCTCACTATCAAGGTACCACTTCCTCCAGGGAATAAGAACAGTTGATCCATAATATGAAACAAGTTTAACAACGGCTGTGTGATCCTTGCGGGTTTAGTGCTTCACTTGATTACAATAATGAATTTAGTGATTCCTGACGATATAATTTTTTTGCGCTTGAAGTGCTTCCGAACACTTAAGTTTAATACAGTTTTTCTATATAATATTTACTGCAATTTTAAATTAAGTCATAGGCCTAACCATTTGTTTTTACTATAATGATCATCCACCAAGATGACAAAAATAAATCTTTCACCATCATTTGCTCAATAGCTGTCTTGCCAGAAGTGTGCTGACACGAATCACATGACCTTCCGAACTGCAACACCCCCACCCCGCCACAGTGCAGACACAGCATTTTACACCTCCAGGAATGGAGTCCAGCTAACTGGTTGAATTGAATCTCTTCACAAATCATACCTTCACACTCCAATAGCAAGTCAAATCTCTAAAAATCACTTTTATTCCCATTCACCCCAATCAAATTTGCTCAAACATGCTTGCTGGATGTCAAAACATTTATCACTCAAACCACCTGCACACCCTCTGCCCCTAGGATAGGCCCTCCTCCCCTCCCACTGGGGAATTATATACCCTCTTGGTCACTCTATCCTGCTCCATTCTCTCTATGGGCCTGCAGGCATGCTACAGTGCTCCTTCTTTATTGTGTTCTTAACTGCCCAAACAGCTTCACTCCTTCATGCACCATCTGAAAACCTTTCATAATCCATAATTTCTGAACACTGAATTTGGATGTTCGCTCCACACATTGCTCTCAAACATGACATCACTCCCTCCAGATTCCTAACTTTAACATGCTCTGCTGCATTCCTCTATCTTTTTTTAATTAACACATTGGCCGCTTCCCGCCAAAGTAGGGTGGCTCAAAAAGAAAATGGTCCCCTATATACCCCTAATCCAAGTCTTGCTCTTCTCACAAAAAAAAATATAATTCTTTTGATACCATAGTACTGATTCTCCGCATTTGCGACGTCTGACATATTGCTCCCTTATCCACCCCGTCATATGCTTTTGCTAAATCCATATCAATATTACATACATAGGGAGTGTTAAACCTGTAGGGGATAACCTCTGGGGAAAGGGAAGCAATCAGACTGGACCCAAGAACATTAGCTCCATTTCCTTGAAACAAGAACCATTTACTGGCTTTAAGGCACCTCCTCTAAAAGATCCAGTCACGGTATTGTGCCTTTTTTTGTTATTTCCAGATTTATAAATATGACAAACAATCCCATGCATTATTATTCATTTATATTCTTCACCTGATCTACACATTTTACTCTTCCTGACTCATCCTCGTTTCTTCACTCCTGCTTTGTCTTCCCTTAACCTGTTCAGTAACCTGTGCAGTATACTTTATGATATATCAACAGGTTTCTTTTATAGTTCTTACCCTTTGTTTCCATTTCCCTTATACAAAGTAACTATTAAGGCTCTCTGCCAATCCTTAGTTCCTTTCATGTATGTATTAAACAAGACTCATGAAATCGTAATGACACGATTGCAAATAAACCATACCACGGGTGGGGTTTGAACCTGCGGTCAGAGAGTCTCAAAGCTCCAGACCGTCACGTTAGCCACTGGGCCACCTAGCTGACCCAATGGCTAACGTGACGGTCTGGAGTTTTGAGACTCTCTGACCGCGGGTTCAAACCCCACCCGTGGTATGTTTTTTTTTTTATGTATTAAACAAATTCACCAACTTCAAAACTGCACACCCATCTGCCTTTAACATCTCAGTCTTAATCCCTACTGATGCAGCTATTTTACCCCCTCTCATTCTAACAATTGCTTCTATGCTCTCCCCTATATTCACTTCTGATTCTTATTCCTACCAAGAATTCTAACCCTCCTCCCCATAGAATTAAAAAAACACTAGAGAGACAAAGACTATCAATAAATTCACACGAGGAGTGTGCATATACACATACACACTTTAACATGCATGTATTGTATACCAGATGTTAGTAATCGTTGCAAGATTTACCTGTCATCTTACGAACTTATGAGACAAAAAGACCAGCACTCCTGCCAGAGTGTTAAACATTTAACAGGTCTCTGCTTGACACTCTGATGACAGGATGATACTGCTGCACCTCCCTGGGTGGCTGATGGAAGGCACTGATACTAATAATTACCATACAAACAGGTGCTCCTCAACGTACGATGGGGTAACATTCCAATGAACCCATGTAAGTTGCAAATATCAAAAGCAAATATGAATATATGATAAGATAAATAAGTAGACAAATAATTAAATAAATAGCTACTGTGACTGAATAAGTAAATAAACAAATAATTACTGCAAATAAATACCAGTATTGAAAAGTAAATTAATGAATACAAGTTCATGTTATCAATAAATGTACAGTAGTGAATATCCTTTGCTATCACACCATCGTAAAGTCGAAATATGGTAAATCAAGCTATGATAAAGCAGGAAGCATCTGTACTGTTATAACACGACAGTGCACCTAACGTTTTGCAAGCTGAATTAATGAGTTTGCATTCAGTGGCGTACACAGCAATTATTCTAAATTCTTCAATCTCATAAAAGAAACTCAATGACTTTGGTGAAACAACCCTGAGGGGTTAAAACTCTTCCAATTTACATTTCTAGTGACTAATACTCATGTCATACACCCATGACCAGTTTCAGAGATGTTCCTGCCCTGTCAACCTGGCCGAGACCTGGCATGTTGAGTTTGTGTACGAGTGAGACTTATTCTGGGATTAGGCATTCTAAATGGAGTATCAAAACGGCTTGTCATTTCGACTCCTTTCACTCTAAAGCAACATTCACACTTAAATTATAAAGAAAATTGATCATATTAATACTGGTAGAATTACCGACAATATATTAGGTAAAAGGACACAAATGCAACTAATGTGACATTTTACTGTGGCAACGTTTGCTCTCCAGGAGCTTTATCAAACCGTTAACGGTTTGATAAAGCTCCTGGAGAGCAAAACGTTGCCACAGTACAATGTCACATTAGTTGCATCTGTGTCCTTTTACTTAAAACTGATCATGTGAATGAATGTCATTTCCGATTAATAATTCAAAGATAATTGTCTAAAATCTAAAGAAAGATTTCTTGGTCAGCTGAGGTTTTTCACCGTCAGCTGAAGTGTGTCAGTGTCAGCTGAGACAGTTTAATGTCAGCCGAGGCATACAAGTGCTCCACTGTTTAAATTATAATTATATAAACAAATTATAATTATAATTATATAAATAATTATAATTATATAAACAAATCAAATATAATTTTTCAAAAAACAAAATTTTTAAACATAACTTAAAAATAACTTTTAAAATATAACATAAAAGAGACAAACAACGATTTAAAAAATATATATTCTTCAACAAAGTACAAAAAACACAAGATATAAAAAGATTTTCGCACTTTACATAAAAGGAACTGTCAAAATGTAGCCGGCGGCCATTACAGTCCAATCCATAATATCAAATGCATAAATATTCCCTCTAGCAATATTGCAAGGCTGTGCAACTTAGAAGCCGACAAATGGTCGAAGATACGTGGATAGATTTTAACCCTTAAACTGTCCAAACGTAGATCTACATTCATGCACATAGCGCTCCCGCCTTGATTTTCTCCATTTGAAAGCATGGAAAAAAAAAAAACATAGATCTACGTTTGGAGAGTTTAATGGTTAATGAAGTCTTGCTCTTGTTGGATCTTCGACAAAAGTTTTTCTGAAGGACAAAAAATCATTCAGTAAGAGACTTGTTCTGTCCACGTGTCTGATTCTTTCCTTATAGTAAGAGCAGTGCACCACCACAGTGGTAGCAGTGCACCACCACAGTGGTAGCAGTGCACCACCAGTGGTAGCAGTGCACCACCACAGTAGTACCAGTACACCAACACACTACTATAAGGTGGGATATCTCTGTGGCTTACCTGTGCTGCATTACGGCGAGGCTACACTGTATCAGGGTCAATACTCTCTCTCTCTCTCTCCTTTAAGCAATATCAGCTGATTAACAGAGTAAATAATGCATTTTACATCACAGAGCCCTACATTAGGCTGTTATTCATTCCCAGTAAACCCTCTATATTCTTCGGCCTATTGAATCATGGATCCCGGTGCGCCGTGCTGCAGGTATTATACAATCTCTACATTTGTGCTCTGTCATATAATGTTCACCATTTCAATGTTATTTTCATGGAAAAAGAGTTAGACCCACAGGGAATAAACAGAACCTTGAAAATGGGAGGTAATCAGATTAGATCCAAAGAAAAGGCAGGCAGCTCTAATTACTCAGATTAAGAGCCTTATGACAGCTAAAAGGATAATTGTGTGTAAAAAAATCACATTTCAATCGTGTTCAGTTTCCCTTGTGAGCTTAATACAAATTAGCAATGGTTCCAAGTATCCATATTCATTACCTTTTTTACACTGACAATGCCTTGGTGAAAGTTTTTCTTTTTCGGGCCACCCTGCCTTGGTGGGAATCGGCCAGTGTGATAATAAAAATAATAAAAAAAAAAAATGCCTTGAGAGATCGTAACTCCTTCGAATACAGAGAGTTTACTGTGCTTTGCTTAAAAACACAACACAATGCCAAGCCCCGAGTGTGCTACTTCTACACCATAGCTGATGCTGGCAGTGAAGAATGTTTGGGTTTCTCCTTCTTCAGAAACACCTTGATGCACCCATTGAAGTCTGCAGACACAAGTGCATAGCTGAAAAGAAAAAGGTATCAGTATATAATTTTTTTTTAATGCACTGACCATCTCCCACAGAGGCAGGACAACCCATAAAAAGAAGAAACAAAGTTTTTCTTCCTGTTACATTTAGTAATTTATACAGGAGGAGGGATTACTAGCCCCTTGCTCTTGGCATTTTAGTCACCTCATACAACATGCATGGCTTACGGAGGAAGGATTCTTCTCCGCTTCCCCATGGAGTGCTAAGAAAATTATCGAGTCCTGGAAGTGGGAAATACAGTGCCTGCGCTCTGAAGGAGTGGAGATATGTTGCAGTTTTTGAACTGTAGCGTTGGCATGCCTCTGGCAAGACAGTGAAGGTGTGAATGATGGTGAAAGTGTTTCTTCTTTTTTAGGTCACCCTGTCTTAGTGAGAAATGGTAGACGTGTTAATAAATAGAAATAAAACAGAATTTGAAATATATAAACCACATTTTTGCATATTCTCTTATGAGGTATATTAAAAATAATTCTAGTACAATAATCCCCCGATTAAACACACTTAGATTTAACTCAAAGGATGAGACAAAATCACTGGATTGAATGATTCAGAAATAACAGTCTACCAGTTATATAATAGTTGACTGATGTTACTATCAGGGCCAAACAATCTCATTTCTATCCATTACAATCACCAATACCAGCCACATACTCTTTCCTATAAATCCATTAAATCAAGAGTTTAATTTAAGATTGTGAGTTAAAATCCTGTCAATCCATTAAATTCTAATTATAAACTTTCACTTTATTAGTTGTACCACTAAATATAAACTTTCCTTTATTTACCACCAAATTCTAATTCTAATTTTTTTTTTTAACATGTCGGCAGCCTCCCACCGAGGCAGGGTGACCCAAAAAGAAAGAAAATCCCCCCCAAAAAAATACTTTCATCACACTCAACACTTCACCGATCAACACAATACTGTTTTTGCAGAGGTCTCAGATACGACAGTTTGAGTAAGTAAAAGATCCTACATACCTCCAACTGCAACACCCAATCCCCTCTTTCAAGTGCAGGCACTGTACTACCATTTCAGGATCAAGTCTGCTATAAAAACAACCGTATCCCGAATCCCTTCACTAAAATTACCTGCCAACACTCCAACAGCTCGTCAGTCCTCTAAATACCATCGTTCCATTCATCATCTATCTAACACGCTCACGTCACGCTGCTGGAATACAAGCCCCTCGCCCACAAACCTCTTTACCCCTCCCTCCAACCCTTTCGAGGACGACCACTGCCCGCTCTTCCTTCTCCTACAATTATACACTCTCCATGTCATTCTACTTTGATCCATTCTCTCTAATAACCAAACCTCCTCACACAACCTCCTCTTCAGCCCTCTGACTCAATTCTTTTCTTAACCACATTCTCGTTTGGAGGATATGTTGTGTATCTTTTATACGTATATGCTTCTAAACAGATTGTATCTGACACTCTGCAAAAGCAGTGATAATGTGTGAGTGTGTGAAATTTTAATGATGATCAAAGTATTTCTTTTTGGGATTCTTCATTATTGGTCACCCCTGCCTCGGTGGAGACGACCCACAACTTTTGAAAAAATAAAAAAATTCTCCTAATTTCCACACTCCGAATTTTCTGCATAATACAGTGGACCCCCAATTTGCAATGCCATCGGTATCCGATAAATCCGGTATTTGATACATTTTAATGCAAAATTTTTGCCTCGATTCCCGTTAAAAAACCCGGTATACGATTCGTCCGAGATGTGTCAACGTGTGTGACAGTGTTTACAAGCCAGCCAGTGTGCGTGCATCTAAGGTACATTCGGTACATTCCATATTATCACAGTGTTTTTGGTGCTTGTTTCTGCAAAATAAGTCACCATGGGCCCCAAGAAAGATTCTAGTGCCAACCCTTCGAGAAAAAGGGTGCTAATGACTATTGAAATGAAGAAAGAGATAATTGCAAAGTACGAAAGTAGAGTGCGTGTGTCGGAGCTGGCCATCTCTACTATAGTGACCAGGAAAACGGCAACCAAGGAAGCTGTTTTTTGCAAAAGGTGCAACTGTGATTACAAAACAGTGACCACAAGTGTTAGAAGATGTTGAGAGACTGTTATTGGTGTTGATAAATGAAAAACAGATAGCAGGAGATAGCATCTCTCAAGCGATCATTTGTGTAAAGGCTAGGCAGTTGCATGACGATTTGGTAAAGAAATTGCCTGCAACTAGTGATGATATGAGTGAATTTAAGGCCAGCAATGGTTGGTTTGAAAGATTTAAGAATCGTAGTGGAATACATAGTGTGATTAGGCATGGTGAGGCTGCAAGTGACTCTCAAGCTGGTCCTAGTGGCATTAAAAGAAGAAGGGAAGTAACCCCGGAAAAGGACTTGCTACCTCAATCCCATTGGAAGGGGATTCCCCTTCTAAACAATAAGTTCGACACTCTCCCTTTCTCCCATCCCATCAATCATCACCAGATCTTCATTAAAGGTAAGTGTCATGTATTCTATTGTTAGTAGAGTACTACAAACTGTGCATGTCTTCTTCAGTTCGTGTGCATTAAACTTAATATTTCATGTGGTAAAAATTTTTTTTTCATACTTTTGTGTGTGTTGCACGATTAATTTGATTTCCATTATTTCTTATGGGGAAAATTGATTCGCTTTTTTGATAATTTTGGTTTACGATGAGCTCTCAGGAATGGATTAATATCGCAAACCGGGGGTCCACTGTATTTACGCCACACATTGCCCTTAGACAAGACATCTCAACTGCCTCCAACTGCCTCCTCGCTGCTGCATTCACAACCCAAGCTTCACACCCATATAAGATGTTGGTACTACTATACTTTCATACATTCCCTTTTTTGCCTCCATAGATAACATTTTTTGACTCCACATATACCTCAATGCACCACTCACCTTTTTTCCCTCATCAATTCTATGATTAACCTCATCCTTCATAAATCTATCCGCTGATACATCAACTCCCAAGTATCTGAAAACATTCACTTCTTCCATACTCCTCCTCCCCAATTTGATATCCAATTTTTCTTTATCTAAATCATTTGATACCCTCATCACCTTACTCTTTTCTATGTTCACTTTCAACTTTCTACCTTTACACACACTCCCAAATTTGTCCACTAACCCTTGCAATTTTTCTTTAGAATCTCCCATAAGCACATTATCATCAGCAAAAAGCAACTGTGTCACTTCCCATTTTGTATTTGATTCCCCATAATTTAATCCCGCCCCTCTCCCGAACACCCTAGCATTTACTTCTTTTACAACCCCATCTATAAATATATTAAACAACCATGGTGACATTACACATCCCTGTCTAAGACCTACTTTTACCGTGAAGTATTCTCCCTCTCTTCTACATACCCTAACCTGAGCTTCACTATCCTCATAAAAACTCTTTGCAGCATTTAGTAACTTACCACCTATTCCATATACATGCAACATCTGCCACATTGCTCCTCTATCCACTCTATCATATGCCTTTTCTAAATCCATAAATGCAATAAAAACTTCCCTACCTTTATCTAAATACTGTTCACATATATACTTCAATGTAAACACCTGATCTACACATCCCCTACCCACTCTAAAACCTCCTTGCTCATCCACAATCCTACATTCTGTCTTACCTCTAATTCTTTCAATAATAACCCTATCGTACACTTTTCCTGGTATATTCAGTAAACTAATTCCTCTATAATTTTTACAAACTCTTTTGTCCCTTTCCCTTTATATAAAGGAACTATACTTGCTCTCTGCCAATCCCTAGGTACCTTCCCCTCTTTCATACATTAATTAAACAAAAGTACCAACCACTCCAACACTATATCCCCCCCTGCTTTTAACATTTCTGTCATGATCCCGTTAGTTCCAGCTGCTTTATCCCCCTTTCATTCTACGTAATGCCTCACGTGCCTCCCCCACACTTACATCTTGCTCTTCTTCACTCTTAAAAGATGGTATACCTCCCTGGCCAGTGCATGAAATTACCGCCTCCCTTTCTTCGTCGACATTTAAAAGTTCCTCAAAGCATTCTTCCCATGTACCCAATACCTCCATCTCCCCATCTACTAACTCTCCTACTCTGTAATTCTAAATATACCCTTCATTAATTGTACCACTAAATTCTAATTCTAAACATACCCTTTCTTAGTCATACCACTAAATTCTAATTCTAAACATACCCTCTATTAGTTGTACCATTATCTAGTCGTATCACTAAATTCTAATTCTAAACATACCCTTTATTAGTTGTACCACTATCTTTGTTTTGACTTTGTTGCTGCTGACACTGCTGCTGTTGTTCTTGCTGCTGTCCACTAGACTTGTTGAGAATCTCCTGCTGCTGTTCAATAAAGCTGAACACCAACTCGGGGTGAGGTGCAAACACTGCACAGGTCACAACAGCACTGTGAGCTGCCAGGAGAAAAAATTTAAATTAAAAATTACTCATGGGATCTTGGTACAAAGACTTCAATCGCTTGCCCAACCTCTGGATGACGACCTACTTACACAAGTGGCAGGCCCCACTGTGATCCCGCCTCCTCCTGCTTCAACTCATCTGACTGCTGTATATAAGCCACCTCTCTGGCCCTATGCTGCACTTCCTACAAGAGTGATGGACTGAACACATCGACTCCAGGCTGAGGGACTGATTACCTCAAACTCCTCCTCTCCTTATACCTTCTGCTTTGTATTGGACTGATGAAGCCACTGCGTGGCGAAACGTTTCTTCAATAAAGATTCTCTTGTGTTGCATAAGTGTCTCAATTCATCAACAGTTAGGTATCTATTATTCTGAAATGTTTCGCCTATACAGTTGCCTTCTTCAGTCTGGTAAAGAGGAGACAGGTGAAGCAGTAGAGATGTAAAGACGATGTAATCAGTCCCTCACTATTGAAGACATAGTTTTGAAGTGGTCAGTCCCGAGTGGCGGCTCACAGCGCCACTGGGGACTATCGTACCGCATCAAACTTTATTTTTAAGTCATTTTTAAATCGTTTCAATAAAATAATTAAAAATTCGCTTATAACTACATTGAAAACAACATACAAGAGATTTTTCCTGTAATATATTTCTTTCTTTCTTTTTTTCAACACATCGGCCGTATCCCACCGAGACAGGGGTGGCCCACCGAGGCGGGGTGGCCCACCGAGGCGGGGTGGCCCAAAAGGAAAAACGAAAGCTTCTCCTTTTACATTTAGTAATATATACAGGAGAAGGGGTTACTAGCCCCTTGCTCCCGGCATTTTAGTCGCCTCTTACAACACGCATGGCTTACAGAGGAAGAATTCTGTTCCACTTCCCCATGGATATAAGAGGAAATAAACAAGAATAAGAACTAGTAAGAAAAGAGTAGAAAACCCAGAGGGGTGTGTATATATATGCTTGTACATGTATGTGTAGTGTGACCTAAGTGTAAGTAGAAGTAGCAAGACATACCTGAAACCCTGCATGTTTCTTTCTTTCTTTCAACACACCGGCCGAATCCCACCAAGGCAGGGTGGCCCAAAAAGAAAAACAAAAGTTTCAAATTTAGTAATTTATATGGGATAAGGCGTTACTAGCCCCTTGCTCCCAGCATTTTAGTCGCCTCTTACAACACGCATGGCTTACAGAGGAAGAATTCTGTTCCACTTCCCATGGAGATAAGAGGACATAAACAAGAACAAGAACTAGAAAGAAAATAGAATACCCAGAGGGCTGTGTATATATATGCTTGTACATGTATGTGTAGTGTGACCTAAGTGTAAGCAGAAGTAGCAAGACGTACCTGAAACCTTGCATGTTTATGAGACAGAAAAAACACCAGCAATCCTACCATCGTGTAAAACAATTACAGGCTTTCGTTTTACACTCACTTGGCAAGATGGTAGTACCTCCCTGGGCGGTTGCTGTCTACCAACCTACTACCTAGGAAACCAATATATTTGTCAGTTGCAAATTATTTTAGCGTAAGATTGATGAAGTCACACGTCTGGCAGTGAGCATCTGGGGAGGACTGCAGCTCTGAAGCTCCTATGGACGAGCTGACATTGTCAGTCTATCAGCCTGGAGGAAAGGTTTGCTCCCTAACTACAGCTCAGGTGTTTTATCAACTTCTAAGTATTGCATACCATTATCACATAAAAATTACTTTAAAGAAAACGTTTTTTTCACAAACCAATTTTACAGGCTAAGAGCAGTTATCCTACCTCAGCTCATTTCAAAGCTCTAAGGTAAGGTACCTCCCCCCCAGATCCTTACACTCCACTAGAGATATTACATAACAAACGAATATACAGTGGACCCCCGGTTTACGATATTATTTCATTCCAGAAGTATGTTCAGGTGCCAGTACTGAACGAATTTGTTCCCATAAGGAATATTGTGAATTAGATTAGTCCATTTCAACCCCCAAACATACACGTACAAACGCACTTACATAAATACACTTACATAATTGGTCGCACTGGGAGCTGATCGTAGAGCGGGGGTCCACTGTACAGTGGTACCTCGAGTTATGAACTTAATTCATTCCAGAAGGCTATTCAAGTTCCGATACTGAACGAATTTGTTCCCATAAGGAATAATATAAATTAGATTAGTCCATTTCAGACCCCAAAAATACGCTTATAAAAGCACTGTTCGAGTTGGGAGCTGTTCGAAACTCGAGGTACCACTGTATTATATTGTGTGGTCAACCTTTGCTGTTTGCGGATTTTTATTTGTGGCATCAATGAATCACAAATTTACAAGATAAATATTGTCATTTGCAACAAGGGTACATTTTTAAATGCAAAATCATAAACAAATAAATCAGTGGACCCCGGTTTACAATATTATTTCATTCCAGAAGTATGTTCAGGTGCCAGTACTGAACGAATTTGTTCCCATAAGGAATATTGTGAAGTTGATTAGTCCATTTCAGACCCCCAAACATACACGTACAAACGCACTTACATAAATACACTTACATAATTGGTCACATTGGGAGGTGATCGTAAAGCGGGGGTCCACTGTATACATATATGCATTCCACTGAGCGTGGAGTGTTGTATCAATGAAATCTTTACAAAGATCAATATTATAAGACTATTATTATCATTATTAATACAGTGTACTATAATTTAAAGAGAAACTTTCATTTTTCTTTTTTGGGCTACCCTGCCTGGGTGGGACACAGCCAGTGTGCTGAAAGATGATTATTATTATTATCTTATCTAACACATTGGCTATATCCCACCAAGGTAGGGTGACCAGAAAAAGAAAAACTTTCTTCATCATTCACTCCATCACTGTCTTGCCAAAGGTGCACTTACACTACAGTTATAAAACTGCAACATTAACACCCCTCCTTCAGAGTGTAGACATTGTACTTCCCATCTCCAGGACTCAAGTCCAGTCTACCGGTTTCCCTGAATCCCTTCATAAATGTTACCTTGCTCACACTCCAACAGCACGTCAAGTCCTAAAAACCATTTGTCTCCATTCGCTCCTATCAAATACAGTTATGCATGCTGTGCTGGAAGTCCAAGCCCCTCCCACACAAAACCTCCTTTACCCCGTCCCCTTTCCAAGTCCTGGTAATTTATAAATCATGTCATTATGATTTCGTAAGTCATAAAGAAGGGGTGACTAGCCCCTTGCTCCCAATTATTATTATTATCAAATTAAACACTAAACCCATAAGAGTTACACAGCACTGCAATGTTATTATAAGAAGAGTTTGAGGAAAGGTCTTTTATGCCTTAATATAAATTTCTACAAGGATAAAGGTATAACTAAATCTTTTACTCCTTAATATAAATTTTGACAAGCGTAAACACATATACAAACCTTTTACACCTTCCCAATATAAATTTCTGTCTCTTCGTGCGGACGAGAACTTTGAGTAATCGTGATGAGTTTTCCAAATGTATATACACTGGTTTTCACTCCCTGCGACAATGTATTTTCCATCGTGGCTGAAAACAAAAATGCAGATTACTGATGGAAACAGATACAACTAATAAAATTTGCAAAAGCAAATTGTACAGTTAAACAGAATGATGAGTAAAACAAATTTAAGAAAATTAAGAAAATTAAAGACCTACAAATGTGCTAAAATTATAGAGGTTAAACAGCTTGAGGGGAATGAGAGGCAGATTTGATCCAAGGAAGAGGAGGGTAGCTTCTGTTCCTTAAATCACTAGCATCATCAATACTCCTTTACAGCACTAAGGAACCTCCTTGAAGGTATTCCTTAAATCAGAAGTCCTTCACTAGCATCAAGGTATTCCTTCACTCAACACTCCTTTACTGGCACTAAGGAACCTCCGTGAAGGTATTCCTTAGATCACAAGTCCTTCACTGGTATCAAGGTATTCCTTCACTCAACACTTCTTCATTAGCACTATGGAACTAACATCATCCTTCGAAAAAGCAGCCGCATCCCACCGAGGAAGGGTGGCCCAAAAAGGAAAGCAATAGTTTCCCTTTTTGACTTTAGTAATGTATACAGGAGAAGGGGTTACTAGTACCTTGCTTCTGGCATTTCATTCGCCTCCTATGGCACACATGGCTTATGGAGGAAGAATTCTGTTCCACTTCCCCATGCAGATAAAAAGAATTAAACAAGAACAAGAACTAGTAAGAAAGTAGAAGAAAACCCAGAGGAGTGTGTATATATATGCTTGTACATGCATGTACTATAGTGTGATGTAAGTGTAAGAAGTAGCAAGATGTACCTGAAATCTTGCAAGTTTATGAAACAGAAAAAAAAGACACCAGCAATCCTACCATCATGTAAAACAAATACGTACAGGCTTCCATTTTACACTCACTTGGCAAGACAGTAGTACCTCTCTGGGCAGTTGTCTACCAACCTACTACCTAAGAACATTTTTTTTTTTTTAACAAGTCTGCCGTCTCCCACCGAGGCAGGGTGACCCAAAAAAGAAAGAAATCCCCAAAAAGAAAATACTTTCATCATCATTCAACACTTTCACCTCACTCACACATAATCACTGTTTTTGTTGAGGTGCTCAGAACACAACAGCTTAGAAGCTTATACCTATAAAGATACACAATATATCCCTCCAAACTGCTAATATCCCGAGCCCCTCCTTTAGAGTGCAGGCATTGTACTTCCCATTTCCAGGACTCAAGTCCGGCTATATAAAAATAACCGGTTTTCCTGAATCCATTCACTAAATATTACCCTGCTCACACTCCAACAGATCGTCAGGTCCCAAATACCATTCATCTCCATTCACTCCTATTTAACATGCTCACACACACTTGCTGGAAGTCCAAGCCCCTCGCCCACAAAACCTTCTTTACCCCCTATTCTTAACTATTACAACTGTTGGAAACACTTCAAGAACAATCTTCTCTCTTCACAGTTGCACCGTATCTCGATCCCTATTTGATATTTAGCTAAATCTTTGAATTATCTTGAATATTAACCTAAGTTAAAATTCACAGAGTACCTTATATAACTTTTTTATTTTTGACACAAAACCCATCTCCCACCGAGGTACCGCAAGTCCTCAAACATATGGAAAAATCTGGACAGTGCTAAAAAATCTACATAATTATTATACAGCCTTTCCTCACTTAGCGTACTCATTTACCGACAACCTGGACTTATGACGAGCTCTCTGACCAGTATGCATACATAAATAATGCATATTAGAGCTGATTTCCTATATTCTGTTTAATACAATATACAGTACACTGCTGTATAAACATTTAAAAATATATCAGAATATTATAAATGGTGTAAAAATGACATTAAAGGAATATCAAAGATGGATGACACAGACCCACCACCATCATAGTATACTCCTCACTTAGCGACGAATTGGTTTACCAATGTGGTCTTAGGAGCGGAACTCTGCTGTTAAGTGAGGAGAGGCTGTATTTAGGGAAAATACCCAACCCATAGGGACCACACAGTGCCTGGGGAATGGGAAGCAATTAGGATCGATTCAAGGATAGAAGTCCAATTCCTTGGATCAAGAACCCTTCACAAGCATCTAGGAATCTCCCTTGAGAGTTAAAAACTGTACAGTACAGATGCTCCTTGTTTTATGATGGTTCAACTTAAAATATTTTACAATGGAGCGATGGCAATGCACATTCAGTGGTCATCAAGCTTTAAATTTTGATCTTGTATTTATTAATTTACATTTCACGGTACATAATTATTTGTTTATTTACTTATTCAGTGACAGTAGTTATTTATTTACTTATTTATTTATCATATCATATTCATATTTGATCCTAGGTAGTAGGTTGGTAGACAGCAACCACCCAGGGAGGTACTACCGTCCATGATGGTAGGATTGCTGGTGTCCTTTTTTCTGTCTCATAAACATGCAAGATTTCAGGTACGTCTTGCTACTTCTACTTACACTTAGGTCACACTACACACACATGTACAAGCATATATATACACACCCCTTTGAGTTTTCTTCTATTTTCTTTCTAGTTCTTGTTCTTGTTTATTTCCTCTTACCTCCATGGGGAAGTGGAACAGAATTCTTCCTCCGTAAGCCATGCGTGTTATAAGAGGCGACTAAAATGCCGGGAGCAAGGGGCTAGTAACCCCTTCTCCTGTATATATTACTAAATTTAAAAGGAGAAACTTTCATTTTTCCTTTTGGGCCGCCCCACCTCGGTGGGATACGGCTGGTGTGTTGAATGAAAGATTCATATTCAACTTACAATATTTTCAATTTATGATGGGTTCGTCAGAACCTAACACCATAATATCAGAGGTTTAGTATTGTTATATAGCAAATTTTTAACTTACCTGAAACCTGCTCTTATTTGACTAGACATGTTCGAGTAACCCTTGTACTTGCAAGAAAGGTTTAGATCTCGCAGGTCATACAGACGTATTCTGCTGTCATTACTAGTTATCAAAACCTGCAATGTGAAACATATATTTAATAAGATCAATCATACAATTTGGTCAAATATCAATCAAATTGGAAATAATTTCTAGTTCAGTTATATTCCACAATATACATCAGGAGAATATCTATCGGGGGACTGGTCATGGACTGGGCTGTGGGGGCGCTGACTCCCGGAACATCCTCCAGGTATACCTTGTCTTCACCAGGAAGGGGTTCAATGCCGGTAATTTTACGACCCTTGGCATTTTTTCCTCTTGTGGATCTCACGTAGATTTGGGTGTAGTACTTCAGCTGCTCGGTTTCATAGAAAATACATCTGCCATCATACGTACCAACTACGGTAAACTTTCCATTCTGCAACACAAAATTTTGCACATAAAGATTTATCAGAAGGTCCATCTACCATTCTACGCTCCAACTAGGTAAACCTTTCATTCTACAATTAAGATATATTGCAAATCCATAAAACAATGTGTATAAAATTTATACAGTGCTGTCAAACACACAAATATACAGTTCCTAACTCAGGAATGTAACTATCTAAACTTTTTATTGATGGCCAAATATAAAAAAAAACTATATGAACATAGTATTGTATCATCTGTGAATTCTAGATACATAAAACTTCAAGAAATACAGCCCCATGAAGTGAGAGTTAGACTTTATCCTGTGTGATGAATGGTTTTGAAAACCGACAAGTTGAAGAATTGAGACACTTATGCAACACATGGGAATCTTCAATAAAGATTCCCATGTGTTGCATAAGTGTCTCAATTCTTAGACTTTATCCTACATGTACATCAATGTTTCCCAAAGTTTTCTCTATGGTGACTCCCTTTTGCTTTTTGAAAGTTGCTACCTCCCTACATAAAAATATAATGCCTTATTCATGACTGGGCATTTACAGAAAACCATCATAGAATCAGCATATAATGTAATACAGCATAATGTCAAGTGAAGAATATATGGGAAAAAAGGGTTTCTCCAGGCACCTTCAAATTTGCCATTTTTTTTATTTTTTACAGTACTACGTATGATTTGTTATTTGTGCTAGAGTAAATGGCGAGATTCTAAGACCAATTTTAGGAAATGACTTAGTTCAAGAGTAAAACGCCTCGAGAGCTCGAAATCTCCGCATGAATCTCTATAATGGATATACACTGTACGTATAAGGTAGTACTGCAGTAGGCCTACTTGAAACTTTCTAATTTCTGAAATGACCTCCGCCAGAATGTAGTAGCCAAGAACTGCAACGGTAAAGCCATAATTCACCTTGACTTTCTTCAGAAATCTTGCTATCTCAACTTGCAATGTGCAGCAACTTCCCGTACTGGCCATGCTAGGAAGAGGCTTAAACTCTCACATTCATTTACCTACAACTTACAGCCAATAAAAGACAAAGCAGTACATAAAATCCTCAATTCAATGGACTAATATGGGGGAAATAGGCGGTTGGAAATGGCAACTGTGGTGGAAAGAAATGAGCTGCATTTGCCACAATCGTAACAATAACGGACAGCTCAATAGCCATGATATTTTCCTGAAATGCACTGAATTCTAGTGGCTTTCTTTTGTGCCTAACATTATTTTATTACATGTAAAGTACATTTGTTTTGTATTGCATAAAAGGAAATAAAAATTATACAGTGAAAACACCACTGAATTTCAAGAAAGCCATTGACAATATACCCATGTACTCAGCCCCAGGCCCAGGCCCAAATTCCTGGAACGTAGTGTCCATCAAGAACTCCAAGAAACCCTTTTCACGTGCCTTAAGTATGCTATGGAGAGGGTAGATAGACATGGGTGAAATGCCACAGTCGCTAAAAACAACAGATATAGCCCCACTTTGTCCACTGTTTCCGAATCAACTGACCCAGTGAATTTTATCCCATATTTCTGAAGATCTAGGTAGTAGGTTGGTAGACAGCAACCACCCAGGGAGGTACTACCGTCCTGCCAAGTGAGGGTAAAACGGAAGCCTGTAATTGTTTTACATGATGGTAGGATTGCTGGTGTCCTTTTTTCTGTCTCATAAACATGCAAGGTTTCAGGTATGTCTTGCTACTTCTACTTACACTTAGGTCACACTACACATACATGTACAAGCATATACGTATATACACACCCCTCTGGGTTTTCTTCTATTTTTCTTACTAGTTCTTGCTCTTGTTTATTTCCTCTTACCTCCATGGGGAAGTGGAACAGAATTCTTCCTCCATAAGCCATGCGTGTTGTAAGAGGCAACTAAAATGCCGGGAGCAAGAAGCTAGTAACCTCTTCTCCTTAATATATTACTAAATGTAAAAGGAGAAACTTTCGTTTTTCTTTTTGGGCCACCCCGCCTTGGTGGGATACGGCCAGTGTGTTGAAAGAAAGAAAGATTTCTGAAGATGTCTAGCATATTTAAAACGTCCTAAGTCTGTTAAATCAAGATTTTAATGCAAATGAAAATAAGTTTCAGACAATATTTTGCCAACACAATAAGCTCATTTCAAGTCTAACAGATCGTACTTGGTGGTAGGAAGAAAGATATATGTAGTATATTATAGTCACAGTTACACAAGAATATAAATATAAACTAGAGAAGTATTATACAGCCAGGTCTCAATTAGTGTGAGTTTGAATTATTCACTCAAGATCAGTTCCAAAGAGATATACCAGAGGAAGAAATTATAGCTTTAATAAACAACACTGTAACCTAAGATGGAGATGATCAGACTGGGGGGGGGTCATTGGGCTAATCCGGGGGGGAGACATGGACCTGCTCCGCATGGGTCAGTAGGCCTGTTGCAGTGTTCCTTCTTTCTTATGTTCTTATGCTCTTATGACCTAAATTAAACCCCACAGAGGATCACTGCAAGAGGCCTACTGGTCTTATATATTTTTACTGAGTATTATAACACAAGACTAAGAGACTGGACAACTTTTGCATAAATGTTCATTCATCAACCTATAATCAAAGTTAACTGTTCAAGCACCATTACAGAGCATTTGAATTTGAAAGTGATACTAAGTTAACTTACTTGGCAGAAGTTAGCTGCAGTAATAAGATTAGGTTGTCCTCCCACTTCATTCCACAGAACCTACCCTCTTGTCAGGGATGCTCCATAGACGCAGCTTCCCGTCAAGTGCTCCGGATATGAAATAACGGTCATCCTGTGTAGAACAATACCTATAAGCAATAAATATGTTTCTCAACACACCGGCCATCAACCGACAAGGCAGTGTGACCTAATAAAAAGAAGAGACAAAAGTGTCTTCTTTTCACATTTAATAATTTATACAGGAGATGGGGTTACTAGCCTCTTGCTCCTGGCGTTTTAGTCGCCTCTTACAACATGCATGGCTTACGGAGGAAGAATTCTTATCCACTCTCTCATGAAGGCTAAGTAATGTGTATGTACACATAATGTACTGCATAGTAGTAGATTTTAAATAAAATAGACACAAGCCATGGTTCAAGATTTTTCAACCTACAATCAGAAGATATCAGGAATATTACTGGAACAAAGATGGAAATTTTCAAGAGTAAACTGAGCCATTACCTTCAACAAGTGCCAGGTCAGCCAGGCTGTGGCTTCTACATAAGCCAGCAGATCACTAACAGCAACAGCCTGGTTAACCAGGCTCAGAAAACAATTAGTGAGAATGTATGTACAGTACATGAATGGAACAGATAAAAAAACAAATGGGAATACATTTATGTGAATGAAACGTGAAGATAAAAGAAGAAAGGAGTGGCAATGGTAGGAACCATAACAATGCTACATGTACCATCATGTTTCCTAATTACATTTCAAGAATGTAAAGTTATATTTTCTGTTCTGCTTTTAGAATAGACAAAATATGAAAGAATGTAATATAATAGTAACAAAAAGAAAATACTATAATTATTAAATGCAAAAATAAACACTAATTTTTTTTTTTTTTTAAGTCACCTGCCTTGGTGGAAGACAGCCAGTGTGTTGAAAAAAAATACTGTATGAGGTCAGGGAATTTAAATGCTGCCCATGTGCCTAGGCTCTTTGGAGACCAAGCCTACATCCTTAAGGTGTGAGCTGACTTACGAAATCGTAATGCCATAATTGCAAACAAACCATGGAACAGATGGAATTTGAACAGTTAGCTGAGTGGCTTACACACTGGCCTGCGGCCTGGAGTTTTACAACTCACTCGCAGTGGGTTCAAGCCTCACCCATTCCGTGGCTTGAGCCGAGGCACTATTATTGAACAACAAGCCACCACAATCTGGGTACACCTGGAGTATACCTGGAGGGTGTTCCAAGGGTCAACTTCCCAGCAGCCTGGTCCAGGACCAGACCTCGTGGTGGATCAGGACATGATCAACCAGAGTGTTACTGCTGGCTGCACATAAACTAAGTATGAACCACAGCCCGACTGGTCAGGTACTGACTTAGATGCCTGTCCAGCTCACAATTACATAACTGCATAATGAGAAGCTCCATTCCAAAGCAATAAAATAAAAAAATCTCTTGCCTTTGGATGAAAAGCAATAGCTGTGACGAAGTCCATGTGCTGGAATATACAGAGGCACTCCTTCCGACTTATGTGCCACAGGCGAACTGTTTTGTCCATAGATGACGTCAGTAAAAAGTAATTCTGAAAAAGAAAAAAAAATGAGTTTTGTCCCCCTGTTATTTGGATTTTAATGACCTCACAGTGAACAGTGGTTATTAAAACAAATAAGCAGCAATGCCATGAAAAACAGCCAATGCAGCATATAAAACTGAAGCATCATTTAGACCAAGATCTTTCTTCTTTCAACAAACCGGCCGTATCCCACCGAGGCGGGGTGGCCCAAAAGGAAAAACGAAAGTTTCTCCTTTTACATTTAGCAATATATATATACAGGAGAAGGGGTTACTAGCCCCTTGCTCCATTAGACCAAGATATAATCATATAATAATTATTGTCATTGCAGTTTTAAATTAGATTAAGTTTGCCTGAAATGCTCTGCATAACTATGGGCTTTCTGCATGCACATCCAAAATGTCACACACTTCTGTATAAACAATGTACAATGTGGAAATAAATCTTTTATTCTGAAGATACAGAAGGGCCCCATTTGAGGGATCTTAGGTTTTTGACTCCGTATGGCAAGCGAAAATTGCTGGTGGGTGGAAAAGAGCAGTTTTTCCATTACTGAATATATCTATAGTGCCTGATAATGTATTTACAACATTATATACTAAGTGCTCGGTACAGCTAGGCATAAAAAAGAAGATAAAAAGTAAAATAAATACACAGTACTTGCCTTAAAATATGGCAACAGTTGCCATTCCCTTATGTAACTGTTGTAAGAAAACGGCGAAAATCAAAGAAAAGTGGTAAAAGCGCTGAACATAATGAGCTCAACAGAAACCCAACAAATATGTAGAACACCAAGAAAAGGGTGCTGCATGTGTGGGGGCCCTCTTGTATATCCAGCATATCTACTGAGTGGCCAGTACACACACAGACAACCACTCACCTTAGACCATGATATGTCAAGCATATCTGCTGAGTGACCAGTGTAAACACAGAATGGCTTGGGCATGAAGGGTGCACTACCATCGTCGTTTGGATCAAGTGATCCCGGGTCTTCCCCGGACTGTCCTGAATGTTGAGATACGAGAGACTCTTGGGACGGTGTCGGAGATACCTGAAGGAAAATCAGTCCTATTAATATTATTATGAAGGGATTCAGGGAAACTGGTTAGCTGGACTTGATTCCTGGAGGTGGGAAGTACAGTGTCTACACACTAAAGGATGATACAGGATGTTGTACTTTGGAGGGGCATTTAATATTTGTCTGCACACTTTCGGCACTGTATTTCCCACCTCCAGGAGTGTAACACCCCCACCCATCCTTCAGAGTACAGGCACTATACTTCTCACCTCCAGGACTATAACATCTTACTCATCCTTCAGAGTGCAGGCACTGTACTTCCCACCTCCAGAACTTTAACAATTCCCCCATCAATCCTTCAGAGTGCAGGCACTACCCTCCTCACCTCCAGGATTCAGGTCTGGTCCTCTGGACTGTCATTAGTGTCACCATGGAAATGTGCTAAACCTATAATGGTTATACAGCATGTTGGCAATAAAGGGTATTCAGGTTTGATCAGAAAAATGGACCTCAAATTTGTTAGATCCAGAACCTCTGAAGTAACAACACTTTACAGCCTCTTACCTTTATATCTGCATTACACTTTGTGCGTATATCCAGGAAGTAGTTGAAGGCTTGTTTGAGGACCCAGACACGCAGTACGTGGTCCTGTCCGGCAGTGGCTAGCAAGCGTCCACAACCACTGAACTTCATGCACCAGATTGGCCCTGTGTGTTCCCCTGCAATACAACAAAATCAATGAACTCCATGCACCAGATTGACCGTGTGTATTGCCCTGAAATACAACAAAATCAATGAACTCCATGCACCAGATTGACCGTGTGTGTTGCCCTGAAATACAACAGCTACCGTTCCTGCTTCACATAACAAGGGACTTTCTACAGTTAGGTACTACGTCATCACCCTAACTGTATAATATACTGTACTCTACTTGTTTTGGTTACCTCACTTTAGTAACAAGGTAAAATAATGAATACAGTGGACCCCATGGTTAACAATATTTTTTCATTCCAGAAGTATGTTCAGGTGCCAGTACTGAACGAATTTGTTCCCATAAGGAATATTGTGAAGTTGATTAGTCCATTTCAGACCCCCAAACATACACGTACAAACGCATTTACATAAATACACTTACACAATTGGTCGCATTGGGAGGTGATCGTTAAGCATGGGTCCACTGTAATTAAAATTTACCACTCTATAACCTATGTCTAGTTTTAAATAGTGTGGAGGCATAGGATTAGTCTCCCCGAAATACCCCGGCATGTTTGTGGCTTTCTTTGTAAACCACACATTGTAACCTTTGCAAAGAAATAAAATTTGTATTTGTACAGTGGTACCTCGAGTTTCAAACAGCTCCGAACCAGAGCAATTATGTAAGTTTATTTTGTAAGTGCTTTTGTAAGTGCTTTTGTAAGTGTATTTTTGGGGTCTGAAATGGGCAAATCTTATTTACATTATTCCTTATGGGAACAAATTCGTTCGGTATCGGCACTCGAACAGCCTTCTGGAATGAGTTGAGTTCATGTGCAAGGTACCACTGTACGAATTTGTATTTTTGTTTGTGGCTTAATCATCAGGACTGATAAAGCCACAAGTGGCAAAACGTTTTCTCAATAAATATTTTGATTTTTCGTATGTGTTTTATTCTTACAACTTTACACAAATAACCACACATAGATAGAAACTCATGATGATGTTTCAGTCTGACTTGGACCATTAACCCGTAAACGGTCCAAACGTATATATACGTTTTTTCAACATTTGAAAGCATGTAAAAAAAAAGTAGATCTACTTTTTTTTTGTTACATTAGAAAATATGTAAAAAAAACGTAGGTCTACTTTTGTAGCACTACACATGTGAACGTAGATCTGCTTGGACCGTTTACGGGTTAACTAGTATGTGATTGGTTAATGGACCAAATCAGACCGAAATGTCGTCGTAAGTTTCTTTCTCCTGTGTGCGGGTTATCTGTGTATTGTTTCAGTCGTGGTATTGTGCCTTTTTGTTCTTTCTTACAACTTGCTTGTAAGATGAAATGCTCTTACATAAATAACTTCAGAGGAGTTATAAAGAACCTGAGTGTGCTTTCCTTGCTTCTTCTGAGGATGTGCGTGTGCACGCACGCTAGTGCTTGGGAAATGCAACTCTGTTTGTAGGTTGGGCACCTACTGTAAAAACAAAAGCTACTGTAAAAACAAAAGCTACTGTAAAAACAAAAGCTACTGTAAAAACAAAAGCTACTGTAGAAAACAAAAGCTACCGTAGAAACAAAAGCTACTGTAGAAACAAAAGCTACTGTATAAACAAAAGCTACTGTAGAAACAAAAGCTACTGTAGAAAACAAAAAAGCTACTGTAGAAACAAAAGCTACTGTAGAAACAAAAGCTACTGTAGAAGCAAAAGTTACTGTAGAAACAAAAGCTACTGTAGAAACAAAAGCTACTGTAGAAACAAAAGCTACTGTAGAAACAAAAGCTACTGTAGAAACAAAAGCTAGTGTAGAAACAAGAGTTCAAGCAAAACTTTTCATGCCACCCACACTTTCCGTACCTGCAATTTCCTGGACGTACATAAGGTTATCAAACTCAAGTGGACCTTTGTGGCTGTGGGCAGTCTTGATCTGTGAATTCAAATATAGAATCTTCACTTTAAACTGTACAAGTAAAGGAAGTTACATTTACAGCTGTCCCTACAAATTTAAACAAACTGAAAATGATTAAAAATAATATATGTGATAATCTAACAAAAACTCAGTGTTTTTTTTTTTTTTTGAATTCAAAATTTAAACCAAATGATTCAAATTCAACCACTGATATTAACAGCAACATTTAACTGTACAGAAGACTTAAGAGTCATAATACAGTCTTTGTAACAATTAACAATTAACTTGTATTTACAAGAGGAAGCTTATGACATGGTTTCAGTCCATCCTGAACCATCGTCAGGTTAAGTCATAGTCGTGACCTGAGAATAAGCCAGGACAGACTGAAGCACTTTCATAACCTTCCTCTCTGTGGGTCATTTCTGTGTCTGTACATAACGAGCTTTACCTTGACATAGTGCATTGTGTCATGGGCCGGCGCATCATCTTCGAAAACGTCTTTCTCTTCTCGATGTCTGTGAGAGACTTCATGGGCTAGTGAACGTGCTTTGTTCACAGCAGATTCCATTTTTCTTCCTAAGAATTTCTTCAGCTGTGAACTGCAAAAACAATAACATGAGTAGTTTTTTTAACACGCTGACTGTCTCCCAGCAGGGTGACCCAAACAAGAAGAAATGTTTTCATAAAGCAATTCTTCATTTTAGATTTAGTAATTTATACAGGAGACGGGGTTACTAGCACCTTGTTCCCGGCACTTTAGTAGGGCTTACAGAGGAAGGGTTCTCATCCATTTCCATATGGAGATGAGTATAATATATTAAGTTTACAAAATGAGAATATTTCTTTATGAAGCTCATAATACATTAAACATTCCATTCAGGATCTGAAGGTAAACATAAGTAGTGAATTTTAATTTATATATTCAAAGGCATACACAAATAAATCAATTGCCCAGTCAACAAGAAATATGTAAGAAGTACCCAAGACTTGAGTCCTGGAGGAAGGAGGTACAGTGCCTGCACTCTGAAGGGAAGGGGTCTGGGATATTTGCTGTTTAGAGTGATATCTTAAACTGTTCATAGCAAACCTTTGGCAAGACATTAGAATTCATTGTGAATGAAGGTGAAAGTAGTATGTTTTCTGGTTATTGATATTCAAGGGGATAACAATTCATTGCAGTAACAAGAAAATGTAAGAAGTACCAGCTTAGCCCGGAGGAGAGGTACAGTGCCTGCACTTTGAAGGAGGGGTCTGGGATATTTGCTGTTTAGAGTGATATCTTAAACTGTCATAGCCGAACACCTTTGGCAAGACAGTGATAGTGTGAATGATGGTGAAAGTGTTTCTTTTCTGGGTCATCTTCTTGGTGGGAAATGGCTGATCATGAAAAGCAAAAAAATGGTATAACAGCTACTCACTAGTGATGTACTCGTGTACCAATGACTCGGACTTACGACTCTCTCTGATCAGATGCCATATCTATTAATGTATATTAGAGCTGATGTCCTCTACTCTTTTTATTACAATATCCAGTACACTACTGTATAAACATTTAAAAATATACCAGAAATGTTATAAATGGTGCAAAGGTGACAGTAAAGCGATATCAAAGATGGCTGACACAAACCCACTACCATTACAATATGCTCCTCACTTATCGATGAATTCATTTACCGACGTGGTCTAAGGAATGGCACTCCATTGTTAAGCGAGAGGTTGTACATATATTTTTTAACAAACCTGTTGTCTACCTGTTGTTAATTTCCACAGGCTCCTGACTTCATGCACATATGATACTGGCACTTTGGAACTAATCAATTACCTATAAACGATGATCCAAAGTTACAATTTCTGAAAATTTTCAAACGAAAATTCCTTTTAAGTCATTTTCTCATTCTTTTACCAAATGCATTCATACACTGTGTGTGTTTATTTTATGTATGTGAAGAGAACTCAGATTTATTTGTCAGAGATTGGTAAAGAAAGGCATATTCTTTCAACTTGTATTGTTCACTGTTCTTGTTTATTATTGCATCAAGTCATGTAACTAGCTCACTGTTCTTGTCTATCATTGCATCAAGTCATGTAACTAGCTCACTGTTCTTGTCTATCATTGCATCAAGTCATGTACCTAGCTCACTGTTCTTGTCTATCACTGCATCAAGTCATGGACCTAGCTCACTGTTCTTGTCTATCATTGCATCAAGTCATGTACCTAGCTCACCGTTCTTGTCTATCACTGCATCAAGTCATGGACCTAGCTCACTGTTCTTGTCTATCATTGCATCAAGTCATGGACCTAGCTCACTATTCTTGTCTATCATTTCTTCAATTCAAAATAGAAATATCGAGATACTTTTTCACATTTTCTTTATCACACTAACTGACCAGGATGTTGACCCAAAAAAAAGAAGAAAAGCATTCACTATCATTCATTCAATGGTTGTCTTGCCACGAGTATGTTGACATCACAGTTCAAACAACCTTCCAAACAGCAACATTCTCAACTCCTCCTACTCCTAAGCCTCCTCCTCTTCTTCCTACTCCTACTCCTCCTCTTTAAATCCCGTGGCTCAGTTGGCAGCGCACTCAGCTCACACACTGAGTGTCTGGGGTTTGATCCCTGGTACATGTGGAAACGTTAGGCATGTTTCCTTACACCTGCTGTCCCTGTTCACCTAGATACTTGGGTGTTAGCAGACTGGTGTGTGTGGCATCCTGGGGAGTGGTAGTATACCTCAGAGAGTGCTCAGCTTTGAAATGGGATGAGGCAGGATAACAGTTCCTAGTCTGTAAAACAAAGCACTAAACCTACTAGGGTCATACAGCACTGTGATTTGTGCAAAAAAAAAACCAAAGTAATTCAACACGGTGTAATATATACATACGTTTTCTTCTTAACGGCTGAACTGTCTATTTCTGGTAACTTCTTGATGTTGACATCCACGACACTCTCCTCGTCAGATTCTTGTCCATCAACATTGGAGTTACTGTCAAATATAATAACAGTTAAATCACTGAGCAATTACAAAGATCTTTCTTTCTTTCAACAAACCGGCCATATCCCACAAAAGTAGGATGGCCCAAAAAAGAAATGTTCTCACCATCATTCACACCATCACTGTCTTGCCAGAGGTGTGCAGTAGACAAGAAAAAAAGGCAGAATATTTCAATCCCTACTCCACACAGTGTCCACACAGTGTCAGACACTGTGTGGAGAAGGATCCCAGTGTGAAGATCAAAATATTAAATTTTATTTCTTGTTTATCACAATGTGAGTTTTAAGTTACATTTTAATCATTACAGTATGGAAGAAACCCACACATAGAGGAAAACTTATGACAATATTTCGGTCTGATTTGGACCATTGACTAGTGACACTAACACATGAAGATGAGGGAGCCTTCTTCTTCATTACAGTACATCACTACGGGCACCACTAAACATTTACGAAAAGCTTTCAGTCTTTCTTTTTTTTTCGAAAACCTTGGCAGTGTCCACCAACAGAGGGTGACCCAAAGATAACTCATTCACCATTAATTATTCCTTAGCTGCCTCTGCAGAGGTGCAGAGAGACAACAACTAAAAAATCCATGCAACTGCAACAACTCCAGCCATCCTTAAGAGTGAAGGAGCTGTACTACCCACCTCCAGGACTCAAGTTCAGTTAACTGGTTTCCCTGAATCCCTTCATACTTATTAACTTGCCTGTACTCCAATGCCATGTCAAATCCCAAAAACTACTTGTGTCCACTTACTCATATTTAACACAATCACATAAGCCTGCTGGAAAAAGGCGCATGATAGTGTGGATAGGGATGTTGTTGTCTCCCAGATATACCTTACATTTCATGAGTTTCAAGAGTCTTACTACTTTCAGAGCCTGTCCATGGGCCAGGCTTGAATACACCTGATCATTTTATTGATCCTCCCCACTCGAGCTCTCCCATCTATTTACAATTGCATTCACTCAGTGCTAGGCCATCTAGCTCCCTTTCATTTGTAATTTTTTTTTTTTTTTTTTTTTTTATTATCACACCGGCCGATTCCCACCAAGGCAGGGTGGCCCGAAAAAGAAAAACTTTCACCATCATTCACTCCATCACTGTCTTGTGATATTAAAATATTTTTTTCTGAAAATATGTATTACACACACATTCAAACAATCCCATTTTAAACAACTTTCATTTTTACTGTAATTATATAAAGTACAAAAAAGGGGGTTATTAGTTCTTTCTTCCATGCACATTAATTGCCTTCTATAACATGCATTGCTTTTAAGAGAAGAATTCTAACCCACTTCATTATGGAATAAAAAATGAAACACTACAGGGATAAATAAATAAATATACACATACACACACACACTATTTTTTGCTTAGATACCCACAGGGCATAATAGTATTTAAAAACTGCCATGGGCGTGCTTGCAAGACACCAAAAACTGACGTGTGTGTGTGCGACACCAAAAACTGACACGTGTGTACGATTACAACACCAAAATATTGTTAGGACATTTATTAGGGAGACATTTCCACCGAAGAAGACCCAGACTTCTCATTCTGATAATAACTCACCAATACATAAGAAATCAATCCTATGTATACTGCATCAACACCCTATTCACCACAGGAAAACATCTCGTCAATAACAGTCCCAGCACTGCATCTGTCTCTTAAATACACACAGACGAACACACACAAAGGCAATATTAAATGCAAGTACACACAATATTGGAAGATTTACTTCTCATCATACATGTTCACGAAACGAAAAAAACAGCAGCAATCCTTCCAGGGTGCAAAACATTTAACAACTACCATTCCACACTATCATAACAACAGGGTAGTACCACCTTGAGGTGGTTGCTGTCTACCCATTATATACAGTATGTATATGAAATAGTACTTATATACAGTGGACCCCCGGTTAACGATATTTTTTCACTCCAGAAGTATGTTCAGGTGCCAGTACTGACCGAATTTGTTCCCATAAGAAATATTGTGAAGTAGATTAGTCCATTTCAGACCCCCAAACATACACATACAAACGCACTTACATAAATACACTTACATAATTGGTCGCATTCAGAGGTAATCATTATGCGGGGGTCCACTGTATACATACAAACATGTCATTTAAATTTCATAAGCTGGATGGATAAATAAGGCCTGGTCACAGACTGGGCTGCAGGGGCATCGACCCTTGGTACCCTCTCCAGGTACATTCTAGATGGAAGAGCCTGTTGGTGACCAGTTTGAGAATTAAGTTCGCTAAGTTTAAGGTTCATCGAGTGCATACGGGTCATTTTGGCAGACTTTTACCATTACGCAACCTGTCAAGGATACATTAATCCCAAAAATAGGAATTGCAGTCAACTCTGTGTATATACACGAGACATATACACCTCTCAGTGTATATATACAGATGCACACCTCCCAATGCATATACTCAGAGATACACACCTGATTAGCAATTGCTGGCACGTATATATATATAGTATACTACATATAAACATACTGACGACACTAAATAGTACATGTACAGTGGAACCTCAAAAATCGAACTGCTCCCAACACAACCAATTATGTAAGTGTATTTTTGTAAGTGCTTTTATAAGTGTATATTTGAGGGTCTGAAATGGACTAACCTAATTTACATTATTCCTCATGGGAATAAATTCATTCGGTAAAGGCACTCGAACAACCTTCTGGACCAAAGAAAGTTCAATATTTGAGGTTCCACTGTATATATCTACAGGAAAGCACTAAACCTGTAGGGATCATACAACGCCTGCAGAATAGGAAGCATATAATCTGATTTGATTCAAAGAGATGGTAGCTTTAATTCCTTGGATCAAGAGCCCTTCACCAATGTATGCAATGCCCATCAAGGGACAAAACTGCAGAGCAAAAGTTGCAACAAACGGCTAATAACATTGAATAAACATTCAACGTAATTGGAAGGATAGTCAACCAATGAGCTTCAAGTTTCATTATGTATATTATTAATACAGTGGACCCTCGGTTAACGAACTTTTTTCATTCCAGTAGTATGTTCAGGTGCCAGTACTGACCGAATTTTTTCCCATAAGGAATATTGTGAAGTAGATTAGTCCATTTCAGACCCCCAAACATACACGTACAAACGCACTTACATAAATACACTTACATAATTGGTCGCATTTGGAGGTGATCGTTAAGCGGGGGTCCACTGTATAATGGACCTCAATATAATGGACCTCATTACAATGGATCTCAATATAACAGACTTCAATATAACGGACCTCAACATAACAGACCTCAACATATCGAACTTCAATACATGGACATCAATATAATGGACCTCAGTATAACAGATCTCAATATAATGGACCTCAACATAGTGAACCTCAATACACAGACATCAATGTAATTGACCTCAATATAACAGACCTCAACATAGCAAATTTCCATACACAGACATCAGTATAACTGACCTCAATATAATGGACCTCAATATAATGGACTTCAATATAATGGACCTTAATACAGTGTACCACAATATACAGTGGACCCCCCGCATAACGATCACCTCCGAATGCGACCAATTATGTAAGTGTATTTATGTAAGTGCGTTTGTACGTGTATGTTTGGGGGTCTGAAATGGACTAATCTACTTCACAATATTCCTTATGGGAATAAATTCGGTCAGTACTGGCACCTGAACATACTTATGGAGTGAAAAAATATCGTTAACCGGGGGTCCACTGTAATGAGTTTGTCTAAATCCTCCTGATGTTCAATGACATCTTCCTCCGAATCAGTTATCCTACTTATTTTCGTGTCATCGGCAAATTTGCTCACATCACTAGTAGCTGTAACTGCTATTGAGTACCTGCACTCTATTTTGAATGTTTTATACACATTAGTTTGCCCAAAATGCACTGCATATTAACCCTTAAATGGTCCAAATGTATATATACGTTTTTTCAACATCTGAAAGTACGTAAAAAAATGTAGATCTTCTTTTTTGTTTTACATTTGAAAACGTGTAAAAAAACTATTATCTACTTTTTTTTTGTTATATTTGAAAATATGTAAAAAAAATTAGATCTACTCTTGTAGCTACGAATTTAACGTCAATTTGTTTGGACCGTTTAAGGGTTAATGGCCTTGTTTTGTGCCTATGTTATATTACACGTAAGCTACGTCATTTTCGTATCACAAAGAAATAAAAATGTTTATCTCGTATTAAGGCAGGGTGACACGGAGAAGAAAACACATACACCATCATTCACTCTATTGTTGTCTTTGCCACTGGAGCTATGACTTGACCCCTGCAACAACACTTAGGTGAGTACACACTTCACAAATCTTTTTTTCAACACACCAGCCAACTCCTGTTGAGGCAGGATAATTCAAAAAATAAGAAACACTTTCACCATCACTCGCCTCATCACTGTCGTGCCAGAGGTGCGGTGATATTACAGTTCGAAACTACAAGCATTCTATATGGAAAAAAAAGAACCTGGGAGTAAAAACAAGCCAGGAGGACTTAATATGTTGGTCATTGGAATATGATAATGGTATACATATCTACTGCTTCTGTTGCTTTCTCTGCACTCGACTAAAGAAGCCTACTTTTTCTCCTTTCTTTCACTGCACCGGCCGTATCCCACTGAGGCAGGGTAGCCCAAAAAGAAAAACAAAAGTTTGTCTTCATAAATTTAGTAATATATACAGAAGAAGGGGTTACTAGCCCCTTGCTCACGGGATTTTAGTTGTCTCTTATGACACACATGACTTACAGAAGAAGAATCCTGTTCCACTTCCCCATGGAGATATGAAGAAAGAAACAAGAACAAGAACTAGTAAGAAAAGAGAAGGAAACCCAGAGGGGTGTATATATATATGCTTGTACATGTATGTGTAGTGTGACCTAAGTGTAAGTAGAAGTAGCAAGACGTACCTGAAATCTTGCATGTTTATGAGATGCCAATAATTCTATC